TAATAATACATATATAACTAATAAAGACTTTCGCAAAAGTTTCCGCCTTAAAATAATAAAAAAAAGTATTGACTTAGTTATCATATTTAAAGTTACTAGAATATTTTCATTACAATTTGATTTGAAAGTTAAAACATTCGCTTCTCAGTTTACAATAAATATAATAAGTTTGCAAATTATTGAATACATTAAGCAATTTATAACTTGAATGAAAGCTTTTGATTGTGTTTTGAAAATTTCGATTTTATTATATTGTTTGGAACTAAAAGCTAAGTATATATATTTTTTTAGGATAAAAAATGCACCAAAAAATAATATACTAATAATGTACAAGTATTTTTTTGACAATAATTTTTAGGATGTACAAAAAATTAAGAAGAAATGGCGCTAGGAGTAATTGAATATATTAATATTACAGTGACCCAGTCGATTAATTAAACTAAGCGTTTTATAAACTGTTATTTTGATATCAAAATAAAAAAAAAATACATTAAACCCGGAATTTTCGGGCGTCTAGTTCTTGGTACACTATTTTTCTATTTTACACTAACACGAATACAGTCATCTTGAGAACCGCGTCTGGCAACTGGCATAATTACTGGCTGATGACTGAATGATGAAGACATGGTACAAATTCTATATTTACCAGCAGGTAATCCTTTAAATTCTTGCTTGAATGTGCCTTTGTTAGCAACACTATTCAAACCTTCAAAAGCGACAAAGTCTCTAGCATCTGGTGCATCATCTTCTGATCTCAAAGGTTGAATGACGATATGAGAATGCCCTTCAATTATCCCATTATCAAGTGTTTGTGGCAAAAGATAGTATTCCTTTTCCGGATTGCTAAAATGTCCTGTTTTAAGATGATTAATTTTAACTTCGACGATGAAATTTTTGTGAGCCTTTAAGACTTCTCCGTTTTCAGGTGAAAGGATAAAAGAGGTAGTCATATGTTCGGTCGATGGGATCTGTCCCATAATTTGACTTGAGCAAAAGCCAGACTTAATTTGAGTGCCATCTAATTGACGGCCTCTTACTTTTTTACAAAACGCACTAGGTTTAGGTGGTTTAATGGCATTGATAGGTGAAATTAAAGAGAATAAAAAGATTGTTATAGCAATTGTGAAGATAACCTTCATTTTTATTCTGTATTATTGTTTTTGCTTTTTAGTAGATATAATTGGAAATATACTTGGAAGATGTTGAGTCAGGAGAACTATTTTCGAGTGAAGATGCCAAAGAAATAATCTAGAGGAGATTACGATGAATTCAGAGGCCAAAGCTATAGCTTTAAATATGCACACAACGT